AGAGAGAGAGAGAGAGAGAGAGAGAGAGAGAGCTCGTGCCCGGCTTGGCTTAACGGTCTCAACGGTTTGTTGGGGATGTTTTGGTGCCAGAAAAGCAGAGGAGGAATTGGACGCGGGGTGGTGGGTGGGTGGGCGGGCAAGGGGCTGCTTGGTGGTGATGGTTGTAGTGTCCCTTCAAGTCGTTTCCGACTTATGGCGACCCTAAGGCTGTGAAGCTGCTGTGGAGTTTTCTTTTCAAGTTTCCTCAGAAGGGGTTTGCCCCATTGCCACACTCTGAGGCTGAGAGAGTGTGACTTGCCCAAGCTCTCTCTCTCTCTCTCTCTCTCACACACACACACACACACCCCAATGGGGATTTTACATGGATTTGAACCCTGGTCTCAAGAGGCATAGGTCCAAAACACACTGCAGAAATAAATGCTATTTATTTTATTTATTTGGCAAAGGGGTCAGACAAGGCTGCATGCTTTCACCCTATCTGTTCAACTTGTATGCAGAACATATTATAAGAAAAGCAGGCTTGGACACAGAAGAAAGAGGAGTGAAAATAGGAGGAAGGAATAGCAACAATCTGAGATATGCAGATGACACCATAATGTATTAGCAGAAAACCTCCCAGACCTGGAACACCTAATAAGGAGGATCAAAGAAGAAAGTGCAAAGGCAGGCTTAATGCTGAGCATAAAGAAACAAAAATAATGACCACTGAGGACCTTCACAAGTTCAACCTAGACAATGCACCACTCTCACGCTTGAGTGTAACTCATGCACACAAATGACTAAAAGTAATATGTGTTTCAAGTTGCATGTTATAGCGGGAATTGGGAATTTCAAGCTCAGGGGCCAAACATGCACCTCCTGGAGTGCCAATCTGGGCTTTTAATTTTCTCCTTGTGGCTACACACCCATTTTTTATTTCCCAGCTTTTGGGTGGAGACTTTCCCCCCAATTCTAAAAGATTCAAATCCCTTTCTTAAGATTTAGGGCCTCGGCAGACGGCTGAAAAAGCCGTCCTGGAGGCAGGGAAGAGGAGGGGGAGCCGCATGTTCCGCGCCCCTTCCTCCTCCCGAAGTTGAGCTCAGAGCCGCCGGCCCTCCGCACGGCCGGCGCTCCGAGGGCAACCTCCCGCCGCAGCGTCCGGACACGCTGCGGCGGAAAAGTCAGTGAAAGTGTGCCGCAAGCTTTTGCGGCGCACTTTCACTGACTTGTGAAAGAAGCGCTATTTTAGCGCTCCTTTCAGGGATGGGGAAGGTGCGCCGCAGGATCGAGGCGTGGGGATGCCTCGGTCCCGCGGCGCACCTTCCCAGGGCGGCCCAGCCTGCTTCCCCCCTTTGTTACCCATTGCTTAACAGTTACCAAAGTTTAACAGCTTTAAGCTATAACATACTGACATCACTTAGGACGTTATCACACAGGGGAAATCTGCTGGTTAATCCACACAAATCCCAAACAGAAGCTGGATTTGTGCCTCACAATTTCACACAACGTCGCACAGAAACTGGACAGAAACTGGTGTTAACTGTGATCTTTTGAAATTCGGTTGTTTGGAGGAAATGCAAATGTGCTATTCAGCTAATTTCGCATTTACCATAATGTGATAACCAAATGCGCATTTGGGAGCATTTCCCTGCTGTTGCCATGGTTCCAGCGAGCATTCCTCTATCTGCGCATGTGCAAGAAGATCATTTCTAGTACATTTACGGGCTTTTCTTACTTGTGTGTGAACGTTAAATGCGCTTACTGTAATTTCGCAATTAAGGTAATTACGTGTGAAAGCCATTTGCAGAATCAAAGTTTATTTTCGGTTCATTTTTGGAATGCCTCATTTCCACTTTATTTTCGCTTTCTGGCCCACGTGTGATAACGTCCTAAGAAAGCAGCCATTGTGGTGATAGAGAACTTCCACTTTTGGCAACTGAAGACCTCTGGAGTAGCAGGCTCAGTCTTCATCATAACCCATTTCAAGACACTGCAGTGGCTATCTTGGAAGGGCAAGAATTTGCTGTTTTGCATTTGATTCCTAAAAACACTGGCAACCAGTCATCCTTGTTTCTGTATACTCCCAGAGGCCAATTTTCTACCCCTTGGTCCTTCCAGGGGGCCACTGGCTGTCAGAATTGCTGCAGAACAAAAACTGTGGAAGTGGCCTTTAATCCAATTCTGGTTATTTTTAAAATGTTAAACAGTATAAGGGGCCCTTGCAACCTATTCCTTCCTATTCCTGACCAAAAAAAAAAAGGTAGTCCTAAGGGCTGAGATCCAGTTAAATAGCCTTGGGGCCACACACAATCTCAAAGCTGTTTCTTGCCCATCCTGATTTAATGCATCAGTAGTGTTTCAAACAAATTCTAAAGGTATTTTGGCAGCAGTTAATCAGCAGGCTTGGAATACCCCAAAGTATATAAAATATATATTGCACGGAGGGCATGGATCTCTGGTGGAAAGGAGGGAAAGTCCTCAAAAATAGCAAAATGGGGCTGAGAATGCTCAGGAGCCACAGAATGCTGGCTAACTCAGAGAAGGGTTAGAAAAACAGCTGGGAGATGTAATGGAAAGGCGTTTCCTGGAGGAGGAGATGGCTATCTGACTGGGACATTAAGCAGGAGCACTTTGAACTGCAACGTTTTCTGGCATCTCCCATTTCTGTCTTTTTCTGTCATTCTAGTACATGATGTTTTAGCGTGTACTAGCCAAGGCCCCATCTTTACACAGTGTGACAGTTGTACATAGCAAGACATGTGGAAATGGCCAATGTTGCATCTCCACATATCATCATTGCCCTGGTCTCTGGGGAGTCCAAGGAAGGGGGTGCTGTTATGGGGAATAGCTGAAGCATGCGCTCTTTCTGGCCTAGAGAGCAGCTATGCTGCAATGGTTCCCACACCACAAAGGTAACAGGAGAAGGAGTCTATAGTCACTTCATAAACTCTGTGCAACAGCATGAAAGCCTCTAATTCTCATCAGTTCACTATCATTCCCATCTGAAATAGGCTAAATATAATATTGAGCTATTTTATGAAGGTTTTTTTTAAGGATTACTGTGGAAACATAAGAGAAGTATTTTTAACTTTTTTTTGGGGGGGGGGAAGGAACTATACAAAGGTTGTTGTTCTTGTTGTTCACAAGAGTCCTATTCTGCCATCTCATCACAGCCTGGAACTGAAGCTGAGCTCTATAAGATCTGCCACGTTGGCCAAGCTGGTAAAGCTCTGAGTACTGCCTGGTGGTAGATTGTGTATCTGTCATCTGATCACCAGCTCAGCTAACACAAGTATGAGCAACTATGGAATAGTTGCAACCTACATCAGTGGAGGAACTACTCGCACTGAGAAAATCACGCTTCCGCAAGGTATTACAACAATCTCTTC